AATCCTCTGCATGAGCTCTAAAGAGCTCTTCCATTCTTTTTCAAAGACATCTTGAAAGCCAGAATCTTGCAAGAGCAACAATTTTCAGCTTGGCATGTATTCAAAGCCCTTGAATTCAGCCACAGGTTGCCATATTAGTTTCCTTCATTCACTGTGTGTCTTCTTTGAAGAAAGTCTGGTTCACCTTGTTGATGAACTCTAAAGCCGTTGTTTTGTTTTTTTTTTTTAATGGAAAATAAGCAACAATGAAGGCCCAAGAGAGTAGCCAGTCAAGCTACTGGTCATATACAACCTAAAAGAATAAATGGCCCATGGCTTCCCTGGTGGCGCAGTGGCTGGGAATCTGCCTGCCAGTGCAGGGGACATGGGTTTGAGCCCTGGTCTGGGAAGATCCCACATGCCACGGAGCAAATAAGTCTGTGCACCACAACTACTAAGCCTGTGCTTTAGAGCCCGTGAGCCACAACTACTGAGCCCTCGTGGCGCAGCTACTGAAGCCCGCATACCTAGAGCCCATGCTCTGCAACAAGAGAAGCCACCACAATGAGAAGCCTGCGCACTGCAACGAAGAGTAGCCCCCGCTCGCTGCAACTAGAGAAAGCACGCGTGCAGCAACAAAGATCCAACACAGCCAAAAATAAACAAAAATAAAAAATCTTTTTAAAAAAAGGAGTAAATGGCCTAGGTAGGTACAATGTGTAACTTTACCCTTAAAATTATTGGCAACATTATGGGAAAACTTTCTTCTGAATAACAGCATTATATATCTTATAATACCATATAAAGGAATTTAAAAATGTAAACTACTGATTTATTGCAAACTGCTCCTTTTGCATTTTTTTTTGTTTTAATCCTAAAGCACATTTATTAATGCTTCCCTGTTCTGGAGTCTCTATAGCAGCACCAGTCAAGATAGAGAGTACCGCTTCCATTTGTTTGAAACCGAGAGTTTGCCTGAAATTGCCCCTTCACCATCCAACTCTTTAGCACTGTCATTTTTGGCACCTGTGACAACAATAACTGTGTTCTTCTCAAATATCTTCAAGCTTCAAGTCTCCATTTAACAGTTAATTAAAAGAAATTGCATGCTTTTAATTTTAATTTAAAAATTTCCTTATTTCTTGGTATGTATTTGCTGTGTCACATGGTAAACATTATGCTTATCATTTTGCATGCATTACTATTCCTGTAATTTCTGTGGACAAGTTTATGCTGTGTTTCTGATCCTCTCATATTTTGAATTGGAGATTTTTTTTTTAATTGTCATTATCTTGTTCCTATCCTACCATTGTATATTGGGTATGTTAAAGAGGGAGATAACTTGAACATGAGAGCTGTATTTGATCCTACAGAAGATCCTGGATGTCGAACAAGATGGGGTAAATGGATGGAAATTTAGGTTCTTCCCCTTGAGAAGGAGAGGGTATGTTTATCTGGGGAAAAAGGATGTGTCCAGATGTTCGGGCAGCCAGAGGCATAGGACTACGGCAGACACTTCTGGGTGCCCCCAGTATGTGTTCTTTTCATTTTGCTTGGTAATAAAACCTGAAATATTATCTGGGCATTTGTTCAACCAATAAAAAAAGATTACATTTCCCAGCCTCTCTTGCAACTAAGTGTGGACATGCGACTAAGATTTGGGCAAAGAGTTGCCAGGAAAAGTGGCTTGCATAGATTTCCTGGGAGGTTTTCTTAAAGAGAGGAAGTTATGTCCTATCTTCCTCTTTGGCTGGTCTTCCTGGCTAGCACGTGGATGTCATGGTTCAAGGTGAAGCAGGCAACTTATAAGTTAGGATGAAAATCACAGGTAATAGTCTGCAGAGCAACCTGTCAGAAGAAGTCAGGGATCCCTGATGGGTATGGAGCCACCATCTTAGGCTAAGACTGTCTATATTTATCAGAGAGACAGAGAGAGAGAAAGTATTTTTTAAAAATACATTTATTTATTTATTATTTATTTATTTTTGGCTGTGTTGGGTCTTTGTTGTTGCGCGCGGACTTTTCTCTAGTTTTGGCGAGCAGGGGCTGCTCTTCGTTGCGATGCACGGGCTTCTCATTGCAGTGGCTTCTCTTGTTGCAGAGCACGGGCTCTAGGTGCGTGGGCTTCAGTAGTTGTGGCACGTGGTCTCAGTAGTTGTGGCTCGTGGGCTCTAGAGCTCAGCCTCAGTAGTTGTGGCACACAGGCTTAGTTACTCCACGGCATGTGGGATCTTCCCAGACCAGGGGTCGAACCCATGTCCCCTGAATTGACAGGCAGATTCTCAACCACTGCGCCACCAGGGAAATCCCCAGACAGTTAAACTTTTATCTTTTTACCACTGTTCTTCTGGGTTTTCAATCTGAGTACTCCTCTTTTATTATCTTATTTAGTTTATCCTGTTATATTATTATTACACCTATCTCATATTCTCTTGTTTAGTTTTCTTATAACTTATAACTAAGTTTTCATATAACTAGTTGTTTTGTCTAAAATATGATGGGAAAGCATTCCTTGGGTTGTACATAAAATAGTGTTAAACAGTCTAATGGCAATCACTGATAGGCTGCTTAAATGAATGATATTTCCTTCATTCATTGTTTAGAAAGGGCCCATTGGGGAAGGGGAAAAACCAAAACAAAATCCAACACTATTCCAATTGACTGAGCTGCAGAAGTGGAAGCTCCTTAACACCCAGATGGCATTTGACTGTCATTTTATAAGCACGGGTTTTCCATCAAGTGAGACTACTACATTGTCTCCCAATTTCTCCTCAAGTGATGAATGCTCCTTAATCTCATCCATGCCATTTACACGCCACTTGTGTTTAATATATGTAAATTTCTTTTTAACGGCATCTTTGGAGCTAGCATAAATCATCTTGCTTTTTAAAGGTGCACTCTTAGAAGCCCAGAATATAAATATCAACACTAGGTCTTCTTTCTTAGACTCTTGTTTTGTATGTGGCATCATACAGAGCAAACTGGCAATCATTCAGAGCTAGCAACTTCACAAAAGATGTGTAGGGATCCTCTGTGGTATCACCAGTATCATTTGCCAAGATCTGCTTTGCTTTCTCTACAATTATTTGTCCTTTCTCATCATTTAAACAGAAGAGACCTTCTTTCTTCCCTCCTTCCTTTCTTTCTTTCCTTTTAATCTTCTTTTGTGTAGGAGATTTCCTTATTTTCCTATCATTAAAAACTTTGATGACTTCATCATTCACTGTAACTCCAGAAGCCATAGTGCCTGGGGCTGCATTGGCAGCTCTGGCTCCAGTTCTGTGGCACTAGGAGGAGGAGAAGGAGAGGAGAGGTGGGTGGAAACCTTGTCTCTCTTGTTCACATCTGAATCTACAGAGCTTAGCACAGTGCCTGAAAATAGTATGTGCTCAGTAAATATTTGTAGAATGAATGAATGGGATTCCTCTAGAGGTTGTACATAAAAGTGATATTAAACAGTCTAATGGCAAGTCCCTGCTTTAAGAAACTTGAGAATTTGTAATTCCAAGGAAACTAGAAAGATATTTATAGGTGAGGAAACTGATACTTAGTGGGGTTCTAAGACTCATAGGCCGCACAGGTTCCTTGTCATGCCAATTGTTGGCCAATCTCTCCAGCCAAGTATGAGTTCTAAGACCACTGCTGCCTCTACTATGTGTACTATTTGAAGCCAAGTCTCCCTAAAACTGAGTTCCCCCACTGAGTTTATGATTAATCTCTCTATCTAAACTTTAATTTCCTTTCTTTTCCCCCCTGACCTCAATCCTGTGGTAACTGAACACTAATCAACTAGTCAGATGACTAAAACTGCTGTTGTGATAACATCATTAATGTTCTAAAACTGCTATTATAGGTATCATCATTATTAGTGTACAAACTCAGGTTGTTTCTGCAGGGCAAGATGAGCTTACAGACCCGGAAGCCATGGACCACCTGGCCTGAGAATTCGAGGCATCCTGACTCCTGAAACTACGATTAAGAAACGTCACGAGGTCTTCCCTGGTGGCACAGTGGTTGAGAGTCCGCCTGCCGATGCAGGGGACACGGGTTCGTGCCCCGGTCCGGGAAGATCCCACATGCCGCGGAGCGGCTGAGCCCGTGAGCCATGGCCGCTGAGCCTGCGCGGCCGGAGCCTGTGCCCCGCAACGAAAAAACAAAAAAAAGAAGAGGGCCCCGCAACCCAAAAAAAAAAAAAAAAAAAAGAAATGTCACGAGATGATGATTAATCCTAGCCTCTTTGTTTTTCCTTTTTAAGAACCCCCTAACTCAAAGGCCAAGTGGGAGTGTATCTGAGGCTTGTCTCCCACCCCCTTGCTTGGCGCCCTGCAATAAACCTTTACTTTGCTGCAAACACCTCCTGTCAGAGTCTGGCTTTCTGAGCCTGGGGCATGTGAGTCCTTGCTGGGTTACATATTTGGCTGATGAGCACCTGTGATGTATGTTGTAGACAGGACTGCTCAGTGGCCCAGGGTTTGGAGAGGACGACCTACTACTGTCCTTTCCCCATACAGGAAGTGCAAGAACACAGCTAACAGATTTTTCAAGCATTCTCAGGCACTGCAGAGCTTAGAAAGCCCAGTAATTGGGAGCAGTTTCGTCCCAACCAGCAGGCAGCCTTAGCTATTTATTACCTGGCACTCTAGGGTAGCAGAGCTGGCAGTTCTGAGGAGGATGGTTGCCCAGGCTCTCCTCTGGCAATCGTCTTCCTCCACCAGCTCCCAACAAAGACATTTAATCCCTTTCTTCCACTGCTCTCAGTTCTACTTGGTTGGGCTTTTAGAGGACAGAGACTGGAGTCCAATATTACACAAGTCGCCTATCTTTGTACATCTTTCTCGGCGCGCTCGCGCCGGCGCGGAGCTAAAGGAGGGGGTGGCGGGCGCGTCCCCGAACTACGCTCTCCCACTGTCTGCTCCCCGCGCTGAGCCGGGCTCCGAGAGGCGGGCGCGCGCCCCGGGCCAAGGCCTCTTGAGGGAGCGCGCACGCTCCGCCTCTCCCCGCCTCCCTGATGCGCGCCCCGCCCCCTCGAGCTGCCGTGCGCCGAGCGCTCAACCACGGAGGACTTTGGCCCAGAGTAACCCCGCTCGCTTGAGCTTTCCCCTCTATTCCGCACCTACCCCCGACACGCCCTGAGAGCCCGCGGCGGTTGGGCGCTCGCTGCCCGCCCCTCTTCCTCCCTGCCGAGCTTCGGCTCACCCCCTCCCGGCCCCTGCGCGCGGCACCTCGTCATGGCGGCCCTCAGCAAGTCCATCCCTCATAACTGCTACGAGATCGGCCACACTTGGCACCCTTCCTGCGGGGTCTCCTTCGTGCAGATCACCAGGGGCGCCCTGGAGGAGTCCCTGAAGATCTATGCTCCCCTGTACTTGGTGAGACCCATCAGCTCCTCCCCCAGGGCGAGTTTAGTGTGGAGAATGGGCCAGGGCGTGCAGTCGTGCTCCGGAGGGGCCCGGGGCACTCGCCCTGTGTCGATTTCTCATTGGGAGGGGTCAGGGTATTTTTGGCGGCGGTGGGTGGGATGGGGGGAGATCGCGAGGGGCGGATATCCCAGATCCTACGGGGGGCGGGAGAAGGGGGAGGGGAATTAGAAGTTGAGCTGTCATCTGAATGCCTGTTGGGGAGAAGATGGGTTCCCAACTTCAGGATTAAGTTTGGGCCCTTAAAATTGTGAGTTCAGAGGCCTGCGTTATTTTCCCTCCCTCCTGCCCTGTGGAGAGGTGTTGTAGGTCAGCGAGGCGATGAGAAATGGCCTGCAATCATTCCTCATCTAATTCCCCCTATTTGGGCGCCCTCCTCCCCAATTTTTTTTTTTTTAAGGGCATATTGGACATCAAGTCCCTGTGGCCTCAGATCTTGTCTCAGTTTGGGATGAGAGGATTGTAGCTTGAGGGTTTTGCAAGTGTTTTTGCAAGTTCACAAAGTGGTCTCCTGGTTGAGATTTTGCTTGGTGTTTTAAAGGGTGGTTCCAGTCTTTGAGTCAGTGAAAAATGTTTAGGAGATCTGACTTAATGTCAGGTAGGTCCTTCATTACACAGCTTTACCTGTAGGGCAATCTAAGTTTGGAGTTTTAACTAGAGAATATTTGGAAATACGTGTTTGTATCATGGAGAATTGTTAAAGAAGTTTGTTCTTAAATGTTCTCACCAGCATCTCTTTTTTTTTTTTTTCAATAATCTCATCCTTGGTATTAAAGATTTATCGCTTTGACTATTGAAGTTCATTCTCTTATTTTCTTGCCCAATAGAGCCTGTGTCCTAAGAAGGCAAAGGTATATTTATTTTTGGTATGTTTTCTAAAAGTTCCATCCAATGTTCAGTGGATGGTCAATTCTTACTTCTCATTGAGTAATGATTTAGATTTATACCCTAATATTCCTGAAGGTGTGTCATGACCATATCTGTAGTACTTCTTGAAAAGTCTGATTATTTATTACAGAGATAACAGAGGAGAAGATGGTAACTTTCTCTGAGCTTGTGGAAGCCAGTTCATTTGTGTCATATATACTTATGCGTTTCAAACTTTAATGTGTGTTAGGAATCCACTGGGGGAGAATGTTAAAATGGGGGTTCTGATTCAGTCGGTCTGGGTGGGTCCTGAGATTCTGCATTTCTAACAAACTCCCAGGTAATATTAATACTTCTGGATCAAGAGCCACAGTTTGAATAGTAAGGATCTAGAGTAAAGGCTGATAATAAACTTATCATTGGAGCTGTAAATGTCTTCCTTGATTTTCTTTGGCCAAGATCCATGTTTATCTGCTTTTCCACATGAATTGTGGCCAGTCTGTAGCTCAATTTTTTTTTTTTTAAATAGAAAATCTACAAACATGATTGCGCTCTTGATGTATTCAGTAATACAAAGAGATTGTTTCTTCCCTTAGAGGATTATGAGGTATGTGGTGAGAGAGTTTATGGTATGTAATTTCTCCCTCTGAAAATCCATAGCACTTTTATTGTACCTCACTTATTCATTCATCCATTCATTCAACAATTGTTTGTTGAGGGCCTGATGTTTTTCATATTTACAGCCTAGATAGTTTATTGGTTATGTTTCCTGATAGGGTAGTTCGGGGGACAACAGGAACATGAGCAATAGAAGCCCACCTTCTATTCCAGTAGGTGGGCTGGGGTCAAGGAGGGTCAAGAAAAGTTTGTGTTTTACCATTATGTCTCCAGCTAGATTAAATACTTCTTGAGGACAGATTCTTTATCTTATTTGGCTTTGTAATATCTGTATTCAAGATAGCTGGGTCGCTATTCAAGAGTGGTTGTGAAGTAAAATTAATGGGAACTGACCAGTATTTTATTTTAAGTGAAATAGAAGAGAATAGAAAAAAATTAGAGTCTACTGCAGGTGGTATGGATAAGCATTATTTCATGACAGTTTTGTTTGTTATATTTGTATGGGTTGCTGGGGCTCTTAGAGCATATACCAACACTTTGCTCATTGTCAGTGTTAGGTAGTTGTTGATTAAATGTGTAATCCAGGGTACCAAGATACAAGGTGGTGTGGGAAGAAGTGGGCTTTTAAAAGGGATCAGCCACTTCTGATTTTGAATCTCAGCTTCATCAGTTACTAGCTCTTTGACTTTGTGCAAGTTACTTTGTCTTCCTCTGTGAGAATTAAGTGAAATAATGCACTGAAGATGTATCATGTTTTCTAGTTCCTAATAGGTCTTGAATAATTCGGCATTTTTTTCTTCCCCATTCTCTCAGTGGCACTTAAGTTAGGTGTGAAGTTCATTGAGGGCGGCTAGGGAGGGCTCCTTGGAAGAAGTAGCATTTGACTTGGACCTTGAAGATAAGGAGGTACAGACATTGATTCATGTATTGATTCATGTATTAGATATTTATAGGATGCTTATTCTTAATGGAGCGGAGGGAGAATGGTGTGAATTGAGTCAGAAATCTAAGTGGTTTCGTAAAAGAAGTAGTACATGTATTGATTGGCTGAAACAGAAGTTTTGTGTATAGCTGTATGAGTAATAACAACTCTTATTTATTGAACACTCATGTGCTTAAACCTTCACGTATTTTCTCTTATTTAATCCTTACACAACTCTGTCTTATCTCCATTTCATAGGTAGGAAAACTGAAGATTAGAGACATTAAGCAGTTTCCAAGATTCAGAGCTAGTAAGGGAAAGGAAAGGTGGTTTTTTTTTTTGACTCAAAGACTGAAGGCCAGGCTAAAGGTGCCATTGAGATTTTTTTTTGAACAAAGGGGTTACAAGTACAGAATGGTGCTTTCAGATGATGAATCTGGTCAAAATGGGTAGAACTGGATTGGAAAGACCGTTTAGGAGTTGATGCAGTAGATTCACTCAAGTGGTAGAAAGAATCAGTTCTCATGGAATCTTACTTTGCAACTTATTAGCAGTGTGATCTTAGGAAAATTATCTCACTTCTTTGAGCCTTAGTCTCCTTGCTTTGCAGAAGATAACTATACCCATCTCTTAGGGTTGTTGTGAGGATTTAAATGGGATAATAGTGTGTTGGAATAGCAGCTATCATGTAGTGGGGCCCTAATCAAGCGTTGCTGTTATTAAAATAGTGCGTTTGTTATGATCTGTGTCTCCACCTCTAGTTAGAATGGTGGTTTGTATTCAGAACTAGCACGGTACTTCAGTAGGTGCTTCAGGAAGTGTCTGAATGAGTGCAGGTATGAATGAATGAATTCATGAATAATTCAGGAGTGAGGAGATAGTATTTGGCAGGTCTAAGGTAGTGCCAGAGAGAATGGAAGGGCAGTTTTAGAGGCATTTCACAGGAGAGGCCTTTCATAGGAAGAACGAACAGACTTAGAGACTGAGAATATTAGGGCAGTGTGAGGTCTTGTTTATGCTTCCAGGATTTCAAGTCTGATGCTGTTGCCATCATTGATAGAAAAGGAGAAGTTTAAGGGAAGCTGGGTTGGGGGAAAATTTTAGTCAAGAGTGTTTTCTGGAGCCTATATATATATCTGCTTGTATATCTGCTTTTCATTTGAAATATTACCATGTGTGTTGTACTAAACTGATTCGTTTTGTTCCTTTCAGGTTTACTCTCTTTTTAAAAAAAAATTTTTTTTTAAAAAATTTATTTATTTAGTTATTTGGCTGCGCCTGGTCTTAGTTGTGGCATGCGGGATCTTCACTGTGGTGTGTGGGATCTGTTTTTTTTTATGTGGACCATTTTTAAAGTCTTTATTGAATTTGTTACAATATTGCTTCTTTTTTTTTTTAATGTTTTGTTTTGGCTGCGAGGCACGTGGGATCTTAGCTCCCTGACCAGAGATTGAACCCGCACCCCCTGCATTGGAAGGCAAAGTCTTAACCACTGGGCCACCAGGGAAGTCCCACGTGGGATCTTTTAGTTGCGGCATGTGGGATCTTTAGTTGCGGCATGCGAACTCTTAGTTGCAGCACATGGGATCTGGTTTCCTGACCAGGGATTGAACCTGGGCCCCCTGCATTGGAAGCATGGGGTCTTAGCTACTGGACCACCAGGGAAGTCCCCAGGTTTACTCTCTTGTTCTATGCATCTGCTCTCATGCTTTTCTCATCTTGGTATCTACAGCTATTCTTGGTATTCACCTTCTAATGCTTAAAGCATGTTGAAATGTAGATGGACTATTCCTTTTCACAGTGAATCTTTGTGTTTTCACGATTTGTAAAAAACATCATCATCAATTTACTTGATGTAGTTTTTTTTTTAAAAAAGAATCCTACATATGTTGTAATGTATGCTAATAATTTATGTATGTACCAAAAATATATTTCAGGAAGCTATATATATATTTTTTTTGGTCTTTTTTTTTTTTTACATCTTTATTGGAGTATAATTGCTTTACAATGGTGTGTTGGTTTCTGCTTTATAACAAAGTGAATCAGTTATACATATACATATGTTCCCATATCTCTTCCCTCTTGCATCTCCCTCCCTCCTACCCTCCCTATCCCACCCCTCCAGGCAGTCACAAAGCACCGAGCTGATCTCCCTGTGCTATGCGGCTGAGGAAGCTATATTTTGAATATAGTTATTGCCATGCATTCACAATAAGTGGTACCCATCACTACACACATTCACATGAAACAGTTGTTAAACTGTTTAAACCCTTGACTACCACTAAAATTAATGAAAGCATAGTGCCCTTGGTACTTTGTGGCAAATTTAGAATACACAGTTGCCCATTTAGGAGGATGGATTCTGTGCTGTTCAAATTCTTAGGTGCCTTTTCTAAAAGGAAAGCTTGTTCAGTTGTCTCGGGTGGTTCTAAGATCTTGTTTTTCCTGGTGTCTTTCCACAGGACCTCCAGATTAGGGTACTGGCATTTATCGTTAGCTGACTTCAGAGTAGAGCCTTTCACACTTTTGGGAAGGAATGATTTAA